TTATTGCAAAGCTTAAATGATATGTCAGATGTGCCTTGGTTTGTGTTAGGGGACTTCAATGAGATAATGTACTCATTTGAAAAGAAATAAGGTTTAGTTTGTAGCGAAAGGAAAATGAAGGTTTTCTGTGTGGCGCTGGATGATTGTAGGTTGCACGACATAGAGTATTTAGGTATTTAGTATACATGGGAGTGGGTTCTGCGGGCTGAAACAAACATAAGGGAGAGGTTGGATCGTGGAGTCACTACTGATTTATGGAGATCGCAGTTTCCTCAGTACTCGCTTAAGCATTTAACGTACAGTATCTCAAATCATTGTCCCTTAGTTTGGTGACCAAGGTAACTGTCCCTAGTCATTGGCATTTTAAATTTGAAGTTTCATGGTTGTCAGAAAATTCTTGTGGTGACGCAATGTTTAGACTTTGGAGTGAAGCTAGAGGTTTGGATCCCGAGAAACTGAGCTTTGTGTGTCATGGGCTTGATAAATGGTTTAAGGAAAATTTTCATAAGAATCGTATGATAGCTAATGATCTTAAAAAGAAGCTAGCGGATCTAGTGGAACTATTTCCAACTGACGAAGTTTTGGGTGATATCATTGATACGAGATTGCAATTGAATATGGAGGTGGATAAGAAAGAATTGTAGTGGGAACAAAGAGGTCGTGCAAACTGGTTGAAAAATGGAGATAACAATACGATTTTTTCTCACAGATTTGCATCTAGTCAGAAGAAACACAATCGAATAAAGGCTCTTGAGTCTAAAGAGGGAGCTATGGTTGATGAATAGGAGGAAATGGGGAAATTAACTACCCGGTATTTTCATAATTTGTTTATGAAGATGTCTTGGAGGGTATTGATGCTTGTGTTACGAGTGAGATGAATTCTTATTTGCTCCGACCATTCATGAAGGAGAAGGTAACGACTGCATTGTAGTCCCTTTGTCCATTGAAAGGGTCGGGTGAGGATGGGTTAGGTGCATTATTTTACCAACGCTTTTGGCATTATTTTTTACCCTGAATCCGACCCGAAGCCGATTTGTTTTTTTAAAAAAAAAAACCCAACCCGATCGGGTCGGGTTCGGGTCCCATGCCCATCCATAGTATAGACCTTCTGGAAGGGCGAGAGGTGATGGATATCATTAACCATACCCACATTGTCCTGATTCTGAAAGCTGTATCTCCAACTAAGTTGACTCAATTTTGCCCAATCAGCTTGTGTAATGTCATTTACAAAATAACGTCTAAGCTGTTAGTATTGGGAATGCAAAATCATCTAGACACATGCATTGATGATGCGCAGAGTGCATTTGTTCCCGGGCGGTTGATCTCGGACAACATAACCATTGCTTATGAGTTGTTACATTCGTTCATGAAGAGGAGGGAGGGACGACAAGGTTTCTTTTCTCTGAAGTTAGACATGAGTAAAGCGTATGACAAAGTCGAGTGGGAGTTTGTTTGAGCAGTGATGAGTAAGATGGGATTTTCTTCCAAATGGATTGAAATCTTAAGACAATGTGTTACCACAGTGTCCTATTCAGTCATACTGAATGGGGTACAGGGCGCACGATTTGAGCCTCAGAGAGGAATTTGACAGGGTGATCCTCTAAGCCCTTACCTATTTCTGATTTGTAGTGAGGGTCTTTTGGTGTTACTCAGGAGAGCTGTGCAGAAAGAATAGTATAAAGGTGTGAATATTAATAGGTATGCAACGGCTATATCTCACTTTTTAGTCGCTGATGATAGTCTTATTTTTGGTGAGGCTACTCCTTGTATGGCTACTCAGGTCAAGCAAATTTTGTCAGTCTATAGTGAGTGTTCAGGTCAGCTTATCAATCTAGACAAGTCAGGCATTTTCTTCAGTTTGAACGTCATTGAAGAGAATCAAAGAGATGTTAAGTGTATTCTTGAAATGAAGAGTTCAGCAAGAAGTATATTGGGCTCCCGGCTTTTGTGGGAAGGGATAAAAAATGTGCGTTCTCAAATTTGAAGGATAGGTTTCGGAATAGAATTCAAAATTGGTGTATCCGAGTATTGTCCCAATGAGGAAAATAAGTTTTTATTAAATTTTTTCTTCAATCTATTCTAATGTTCGCGATGAATTGCTTCCTTTTACCTAAGACACTTTGTAAGGAGTTCAAAGGTATCATGGTCCGCTTCTGGTGGCAGAAATCTGAGCACAAACGAGGAATTCATTGGTGTTCGTGGGATGTGCTGAGTAGGCTGGAGGAGGAAGGAGGACTTGGTTTTAGAGACATGGAAAAGTTCAATATCGCTTTGCTGGCATAGCAAGGGTGGAGGTTGATTATGAATCCAATGTCATTGGTTAGTCGTCTTCTTCGGGTGAAATATTTTCCCACTAGAGACTTCCTCAGTTTGAGATTAGGTTCATCTCCGTCTTATATGTGGCGTAGCATCTAGAGTGTGCGGGGGCTGTTAGAGAATGGGCTCCGATGGAAAATGGGCAATGGGCACTCGATTTCAGTCTGGAATAATGATTGGTTACCGGGGGCTAGGAAATTTCTTCTTGTTTCCACCCGCCAGGATTCAATTGTAAGAGTTTCAAACTTAATCAATGAGAACGGGGGTGTTTGGAAAGACGTTTTATTTCGTCAAACGTTTAACGAGGAGGAAGTTGAACTGATTTTGGGAATCCCAATTTCACGATATTTCCAAGAGGATACCCATGTGTGGTGTGGTGAACGGTCCGGTGTATTCAGTGTGCAAAGTGCTTATCGTTTGTTATTGGAGGATGGTAGTGTTTCTCCGGATGAAGCCATTGTGATTAAAGCTATTTGGGCGTGTGCATGTCAGCGTAAGATTAAATTGTAGTTATGGAAGTTTCTATTCAATTTCATCCCAACAAACAACAATTTATTTCAGAAGCGAATTACGAATAATCCATTCTATGCACGGTGTCCAACGGAGATTGAGAGTGCGGAGCATGTTGCTAGAGTTTGTCCCATTGCGGGTTTGGCAATCTTTGGGTTTTTATAGGCCTCCTAATTTTTCTAATGCTAGTTTTGGAGAATGGCTTTCATGGCTCTTAAAACAGAATCATTCATCAAAACATTCAACAATTATGACATCTATTTGGGCATTATGGTTTGCGAGAATTAAATATACTCATCAAGGAAAGATTTATCAAAGAGTGATGCAAGTCCCGATGGATGGACTTACTGTTCACTGGCAACCGGCCATCGCCCCAGCAGTGAAGGTGGATTTTGATGCTAGATTTGTTGAACAAAATAAAGTGCCCTGGTCGGGGCTTTTAATCAGAGATAATGAAGGTTTAATTTTAGGTGCTTGTCGAAGATTTAATTCGAACATTACCTAGACGTTAATGGCTGAAGCAAAGGCTGCATTATACGCAGTGGAGCTGGCGGCGGACCTCGGTTTCAACCGCGTCATCGTTGAGGGGGATTCAAGGTCAGTAATAAAAAATTTAGAATATAGGGAAGAAGATTTATCTGAAATTTGAGCTTGGATTTGGGAAATAAAGAGGAAAGCAAACCTGTTTCATGCATGCACTTTCAGCTTCACTCCGAGATCGGCAAATAAGGCGGCGCATGTCCTGGCAGGCGGAGTTGGACTTAGGGAGGAAGACCGGTTCTGGATAGAGGAAGGTCCTAGTTGTGCAGAGCTTCAGGAGGAGGAAGACAGGAGGTGGATAGATCCTCCATAATTGTAGAGTTTTGGTGTGTTCGTGGTTAAGGTTCGATCTGATTTTATCTTCTTCATGTTGTGTTCGTGCTTTGGGATGATTTTTCAGCTAAGAGGAAAGGTTGGTGTTCGATTTTTCATTTTGTTTTTGCTTTGAACGATTTGTTTCCCTGTTTGTACAACTGTTTCCCATTTACGGTGGACAGGGTTTTCTTTTTCTTTTTGTTTTTTTATTCTAATAAATAAAACCAGCATTCCATTGTTAAAAAAAAGAATTGGATAATATATATCATGAATAATATCATAAAATTCTAGATGATTACATTTAAATTTAAGAAAATTTTAAATAAATATATCTCATCTAATTCAGCTTAAATTTTATAATCTCCATTTGATTTTTTTTAAATATAATTTAAATAATAAAATCATACTCGCAAATTCAACCTACTTAAAATTTTCACTCGGTTTCACTCTATCAAATACTCATTCTTAGGGATAGGCACGGACCCGAACCCGGTAGTTCTAATTCGATCCGAATGGGTAGAGTTTTTTTTAAATCGGATTCAGATCGGGTCGAGTCGAATCTCTTTAGAAGTTATATTCGAGGCGGGTCGGATTAGTTTTTTAAAAATTATGTTTGGGTTGGGTCGAGTTCGGGTTTTTCGTGAAAAATCCCTAACCCAACATAAAAAAATTTACCTTATACATTTAGAGATAATTATAATAATATCACTCTATATATTGTTTTTCTAATTAAATCATTATTTTTATTAAATAAAAATAATATTTTAATAAATATATTATTTGGGTCATGTCGAGTTCGGATTTTATCTCTAAAAATCAGGCCGAGCTCGAGTGTATAATTTTCGAGTCAAGTCGAGTTGATCGAAACTAGACTCATGCCCATCCCTACTCATTCTTAATTTTTTGAATAAATTAAGGTGATTACAAAATAATATATATTCTAAAACACCGTCAATCATTTGACAATGAATATTCAATCACTCTTACAATCACTAGTGATTGAATACATGATCCCTAAGAATAACAATGATTCTTTTAACCACTGAGGTAAGTTAGTTCGTCCTACTCATTCTTAATTAAAATAATATAAGCATACTTGATATTAATAAGAGTAAACTACATCATTAATCACCAACCTATTACTGATTTTCTATTTTGATGGCCAAACTAATTTTTTTTTTTATAAAAGCATCATTAATAAAGATTGAATCAATCAACAACAATTTTCGTTAACAGACTAAATCAATTAATTTTATGCATCAAAATATTTTAAAAATTAAATATATTCATGAAAAAAAACATATATTCATTTCCAAAATTTAAATATACCATGAAATTGTGCCTAATTTAAGTCGATCATCTTCATCAAAATCAGGCTGAACCGATTGCTCGAACTCGGCATCCATAATAACCCCATCTATAACGTGCACAACAAGCTTCCCTCTCCTCATATCAACCCTCTCCAACTTCACTCCATTAGCCACCAACACTCCACCTTCATCCTTTGAAACGAACAACTTGAACCCCGACAACGAATCATACGACACCTCTTTGCCGGCCGGCACCATGTTTGAGTAGAGAACTCGAGGAATGGCCGAGAAACCCAACACACGAGAGATGATCGCGTATGTATCGTTCATCTTTTCCCCAACCAAACTACCACTCGTGTTTAACCTCAAATCGCACTCGAAAGCTGTTTTTGAAGGGAGAAAGACGGTGAAAGTGAGATCTTCAGGTAACATATCGATCATCATGTTACCAAATGTACCGATCGAGTTGTCGTTATCGGAGGCTTTAAGAGAGTTCATGTTGTTGTGAAAGGACATTGCATCGTTACCGGTGGCGATGTCTGGAACTTTCAGCATCGTAACGATCAACACCAAGATACAACAAAGAAACACCAACAACACAAAACCAATTGAGTTTTTGAAATGGTAACCTCTCCTCGTCTCCTATGGATTATTCATTAGTTGCAATCATTCATGGGAACTTTTTCTCCTCCAAAATCTATTTTACTTCATTGCCAAGTGAACTCTATCTGGGATTTAGAAGAAAAAAAAGGTAAATAAAGTCGAAATATTAATAAAAAAGAAGCATACTCTAATTTTAACTTAATTAACTCACAATCACTCTTAAAGAATGTAATAGCAATCTAATATCCATGACAATCATGTATTGTATTCCTTAGATAGATATTATCCTAGAATGCTTAAAATTTTATTTTTCTTATCCTGTAATACAGGTCTAGAGGGGCACCTTGGAGGGGAGGGTCTTAAATAGTGGTTGAATAGTAGAATAACAGTGACTATATAACGATAGCGACATCATCCAAAACCATTATTACAAAAAATTATTGTATAAAGTATAATCGCATCAATAACAATAAATTATAGATGTAATTTAACAAATAAAAATCAAATATGAAAATAATAAGAAGTTATTCCCGTTATCGCTACGTTATAATAAATTCAACTCCATTATTGTCCCACAATTATTATGTTTTACAATTAGTTGTGTAAATTTTAAAAATTCAAGATCATGGTATTTATAGTGACTTTAATAACATTTGTTACGTTCATAACTACAATAAACATAATGCAATTGAAAAAACAATCACAACTGTAATTTAAATCGTTGTCGCTTCCTCTATATCAGTTGGTAAAATATACCATTTGTCATTGAATTTTACTTTTTCTCTTTTATTTTATTCATTGTATTTTTTATTTTTAATTTAGTCACTCAACTTTTGAATTACTCTTATTTTGATCGTTCTGAAATATTTTATTATTAATTATGGCTAATAAGAATAGATGGAAAAATTGTGGAGTGGGAGATTTGAATTATCCGAATTAACTAAAATGAAGTCAAATCGATTATGTAAATGAAACCAAAATCAAAATATAGAAAACTGAAATTAAATTGAATCTGTTGAAACAATGCAACATAAACTACTTTTTTCTCTCGAGAATCAAAACGACGACAAGAATCTTAGCGCTACATACGTGCAATGAAAAAAGAGAATAAAATATACAAATAAACAGAGAATCAGAAAGTTTCAAGCAGAGTTTCTATATTTTCCCCAGATTTAGAACTAGAAATTGCAGTCAATTCTCATGACTCAAAGAGATCAAGACTCAGATCGAGATCGATTGTTGAAAATCAAATTGCAAAAGCGAAAAGGGAGCAGTGAACAAGTTTACATACCTGATTAACTTCGAAAGCTATTGCTGTTGAAGAATCAGCGAAGCACGAAAACCCTTTGTTGAAGTCCCAATCACAGAGCGCAGAGACTTCGACTTCGAGTAGGGGAGTTTGAGACGATGAGATGGAGAACGAACGGAGTCCCAAATCTTACCTTTTGAATGTTAAAAACGCACTTTCACGTGAAATTATCTTGGAAAATGTTCTCCGCTTAACTTAAGATCAAACTAGGACCCGAAGCCAACAGATTTCAACCTATCTGATTTGATTAGATCGATTTTTTTATTAAAAAAATCAGATTGAAATTGAATCGAGTTTTTTTAAAATTATATGTTGGGTTCGAGTTTAGGGTAAGACCCAAGAAATAATACTCTATAAATTTATCTTATATATTTAGAAATAATTGTAATAACAATTAATTTTTATTTTATTAAATAAAAATAATATTTATTTTATAAATATATTTATTCAGGTGGTCGAGTTTTGATTTTATTTCAAAAAGTCGGATCGAATTTGATTCAGGCGAATTCAGCCCTAAACTCAGGCCGGATCAAGTTTCGAGTGGATGATATATATTTTTGAAACAGATTGACCGAAAACTCGACCCAACATGACCCATATCCGTCAAATGTTTAGAGATTTTAGGATAAATTACATTTTAATGTCGGGTCTAATATTATATTTTTGTTTTAATCATCTAACTATTAATGTTGGATAAATTATCGTTTTGATCATCTAACTATTTTTTTTAAATCATATCAAACGTTAAGTTTTTTTATCACACACTATTAAAAAATTGGCAATGATGTTGATATGTCACCGTAAGACAACATCATCTCATTTTTGGATAAATAAAAAAATTATCATGTTAGCAGTTCTGTTTATATTTTAACGACGGGTGACTAAAACAAAAGAGAAATGTAATGTTAGACATGATTTTGAGAAAAATAATAGTTGGGTGACTTACGTAGTTTATCATATATTTTATTTGGGTAAACTACACCCAATGTCATTTTTGTTTTTATCTATCTTATTTTGGTCACTAATTGTAAAAATGTTATAACATGATCACTAATATTGTCAATTTATTACATTTTGATCATTGAGATTAACTCTCATTAATTTAATCGTGCCATATCAAATTGATGACGTGACATTTTATTTTAGGGTAAACTACACATTTAGTATCACAACTGTCATTTTTATTATATTTTGGTCACTCAGTTATTAATTTTTTGAAAATCACATATAATGTTACATTTTTATCACATGTAGTTAAAGATTTAACATAATTACTGATGTGATATTTTATTTTTTTAATGATGACATGACACTATCTTATGATAACAAATCAATATCACCGTTAACTTTTAATTGTGGTTGAACAAAATGAAACCAAAACGTAATGGTAGGTATGATTTTGAATCATAAAAAAATAGTTGAATGACCAAAGTAAAACCAGAATGATAGTTGTAATACTAAATATGTAGTTTACCTTGGAATACAATAATAAGGTATTGTTTCATAAGATTACATGTAGGAATAAAATTAACTTTACTTACATATTATTGAGAATGTTTTACTATCTTATTTAGTTTATTTAGTAAAAATATAATATTATAATATTTGACTAGAGGAATTATACGAGAGGAATAATGTACATTTTATTGAATTTTTCTTGATATATATTTTCATTTTGGGTAAATTACACTATTTTTCACTAAATTTTACTCTTTATCCTATTTTACTCACCATACTTCCAATTTTTCTATTTTGCTCACTGAATTTTACATATTGAATCATTTTGCTCACTCTACCGTTAACTCTCTAACGGTGTGATGATGTGTAATTTATTATTATTAATAAAAATAATTGAAAATATAAAGGGTAAATTACATCATTCCTCATTGAACTTTATTCCCTATCCTATTTTGCTCACCCAACTATAAAATAAAAACAAAAGGTGGTCGGATGCCATTGTCGACCATCGTAGATGATGTTTGTTCGGTCTCAAATTTTATGGGTCGCTTCGCCTCGACACCTTGAGTTCGAATTCGACCTTCATTTTATCGAAACTTACTCCGAAGTCCACGAATTAAAGATCAAATATGAGGAAGTCAAAGGGGTCGAGAAAAAATAACTCATGAATTTTGAAACCGAACAATCACTTTCAACAATAGTAGATGGTGGCCAGAATGAAAAATGGCGTGGTGATCAGCAATGAAGTAGAGAAAAATGGAGGAAAGAAGAGGAATCAAAACAACGTCATTTTGGTTCATATTTGAGTTTTTCAAAATGACTTTGTTTTTATGCTGGACAACACATCATCACATTGTTAAAAAGTTAACGGCAGAGTGAGTAAAATAATTCAATCTACAAAGTTAAGTGAGTAAAATAGAGAAAATATATCAAGTAAAACAAAATATAAAATAAAATTCAGTGAGGAACGATGTAATTTACCATTTCTGAAGTTCTTAAAATTAGAAAGAAAATATTTACATAAAAATTTATAAATATATATATATATATATTATTTCTTTAAAAACATAGAAACACTCTGCCATTCTTCCTCTGGTTCAAGTTCTGTTCTTCTTAGATTTCTTCTTCAATCTCTGTTGTATCGCATGATTTCACGTTTAGATCGTATCATCTAGATTGCAAATACTCTTTTTTTTTATTTTGTTTTGCCTTTTCTTCGGGAGAGATTGTTTGTCGAGAGAGATGGCAGGTGTTGAGTTAGCCAAAGGCGTTAACGGCCTCGAAAAGATCATCCTCCGCGAGTCTCGCGGCAGCTCCGCCGAGGTAATTTTATAGGCCTTTCGGTTTTTTTCTTTTTATTTCTGGATCTTTTCAATCCGATCTACATTTCTTTGAATTTGTGTTTTATTCTCTCTTTTTTTTGTTATTTTCCATAGATCTTTGAGTATTTAATATTGTTTCTTGTTTAGGTGTATTTGTATGGAGGTCATGTGACATCTTGGAAGAATGAGCAAGGAGAGGAGTTGATATTCGTCAGTAGTATGGTACTTTTCAGTGACTAAAATTTTCTTTGACTAAATATGATCAGGGATTCAAATTGCGGACATAAGGAACGCTGTGGGTTTCGCGGTCATTCAATAACTTTCGCGGACCCTCTGCTATATAGGGGTCACGATTGCGGCTATTTAAATCCCTGAATATGATATATAATGTTTAAAGTATATTGTTCAAGTCCTTTGACTCGATGATTCATTTAGAAAAAATATATTTTTAATGAAATTATGTGTTAATACGCATTTTGTTTCCCTTGTTGCCTTTCTCAACCTGTGATATGTCTTTTTTGAGTGTGAGCAATGGCGAAAGTTAGACAGATTATGCGTTTTCTAGATCGTAAACCTTTCCAGCAATTTTGAGAACATAAAGAACTGATTCATTCTTATTGAAATAGCATGAATTCATAGATTAACTGTTCAGAAAAACGAGTTTAGAGTGATGCTACGTTTAAAGAAAATGATTAAACTTGTGTTAATTTGTTTGGAACTCCTTATTCGAATATGAAATGAAATACTTCAGACGTTTTTAGGAAAAGAATAGAGTTTAGTAACTTATTTTCTCTGCTTGTCTTTCTTTTTTGTCTCATTCAGTGACCGATAAGGTAAACAAGAAGAATTCTTTTTTTGGTTTT